CCCTCTGCTGTCCTAACACTGGCCACTAAGTCAAGGAATGAAAACAGATTGTAACATCCACTTAAGCAAAGCCATTAGCAGTGTCACCTGCTCAGGGAAGAGAGAGTAAGAAAGAGAACAAAACCAAAACCAAAACCCAATACACTTCAAGGGCAATCATATCCTGTTAAACGGTTAAACTGTCCACTGTTCATATCCGAGTTCCCCTGGGCAGTTAATGGCAAGCTGAATTCATGCGCTGTGTCATTTTCTTATTAAGCATTCGCATCAAGTATTTGGTGGATCCTTATCGTTAATATTTGGCTAGCAAAACCCTGGAGGATCTCCTGGATGCAGACCCATGGGACCTTTCTCCCCTGCAGGGCCCGTGCTACGTGGTCCCCTTCTGCAGGTGGTGCAGCAAGACAAGCCAGCAGGGGCTTTTCCACTCCAAGCGTGCTTCTCGCCCGTGGGAAGAGCCACCTCTGGATACAGAGGCACCTGCAGATGATGAACCTGCCTGGGGTGGGTGGTGGTGAGGGTTGCAAAACAACTTCATTTGCATCTGGAGAGACGTGAGCAGCGTCTTTTCCAGCAGGGAATCTGACACTCGGCACACAGACCTGTCTCTGCCGGCCCCTGAAGCTTCTCAAACCCTGCAAGCCAACATCTCCGTGGCCTTGCTAGGAAATGGGCTGCAACGCTGCACTCACAGCTGGAACTCAGCACCGCAGCAACCATCATGAAGTACCCACCACGCACCGGGTTTTCAGATGCATTTGTCTCCTCAAGCCACAACCAAAACTCTATAAGGGAATTCCTACGTCCATCTTATGAATGAGGAAGACTGAGGCACGTGGGGAGGGGCGAGTAATTTCCACAAGGCCGCAAAGCTAAGAAGTGGCCACGTGGAGGCTGGAACCTGGGTCTGCTGCCTCGAGCCTGGGCCCCTAACAATCTTGCTGCTTAACCAGCCCGATGAGCTAATCACCCAGGTCACCAGCCAGTCGATCTGCCTACCTCCCACTAGCATACGCATTCACTGGGTGCCAGGCACCGGAAATGAGGGGAGATGAAGACAGGAATCCTGCCCTCACTGTGTGACCTTTAGCAGATTGCTTAACATCCCAGGACTTGAGTTTCCTCATCTGCAAAATGGAACAACAATGCTGCCTCCCTCAGTGGGTTAAAGGACTAAATGCACGTAAAGTGGTTAGAACAGCATCTGCCACAGAGTAAGCATTCTATAAATATTACCTGTTAATGTCGGATGAATGGGATTGGGATTTTTTAAACTTACATTGTGTTTCCAGTGTAACGTTTCAAAATTGATTCTTCCACAAAGCAACTTTTTACAAAGCCTGTACCCAGGGATGGTGGAGAGGGTGGTGAGCTTGTTTCTCAGCCCCGCAAATAGATGCATACGTCATCCTGGTACATCTCTATCTTTAGCCAGAAAGGAAAACAGAGCAGGACTCAGCCTTCCATTTTTCATCCTCTCTCTGCCCAGCTGGTGGGGGCGATGGGAAAGAACAGCCTTGACCTCTGGTCTCTCCCGAGTGCCCGGCACAAAGTCTGCCCCATGTAGCCAAAGGAGGGGCACCCCAGGCAGACAGAAGGGGTGCCCGCCCAGCTGCCAAGGTCTGCAGGGAAATCTGCACTGATGATTGATGCCTAAGCAACCCCAGGGCCATCAAACTAAACTTGCCTTCCTGGCCTCTTTAAAGAGCAGAGTTCGGATCCTGTGTTTGAGTTCACAAGTGTGGAGGTGTTGTAAGCATTTATTTTTCCCCTCTTTCTTGCATTTCCTCTCTCTGGCAACCTCCTGGGTGACCAGACAGACCATGGTAGGAAAAATAAGAGAGAGGAGGGGAGGAGCAAATAAGAGATTATTTATAATTTATGCAGCTAAGAGGATAGTTTTTCGATTCCCAAACCAACAGCAAACAGGACATTTCATGTTCCGAGGCGGACCTGCCCACACTCTTTATTCCCTGTGGCTGGGGCTGGTGGCTCCCCTTCCTCTCACCAAGTTTTGTGGAAGAACTTCTGATCCATTCACCCAGGCTTAATGATGGCATTTTCCAGAATGGCTATAAAACTGGCATTTATTTATTTATTTTTTTTAAGTTTATTTTGAGAGATGGGGGAGGGGCAGAGAGAGAGAGATAGATCGAGAATCCCAAGCAGGCTCTGTGCTGTCTGTGCAGAGCCCAATGCAGGGCTTGATCTCAGGAACCGTGAGCTCATGACCTGAGCCGCTATCAAGAGTCGGATGCTTAACCAACTCAGCCACTCAGGTGCCTCAATATAAAGTTGGCTTTTAAAAGGAATTGTATTTTGGGGTGCCTGGGTGGCTCAGTTAGTTAAGCGTCCAACTTCGGCTCAGGTCATGAGCTCAGGGTTTGTGGGTCTGAGGCCCGCCGGGCTCTGTGCTGACAGCTCAGAGCCTGAAGCTGGCTTTGGATTCTGTGTCTCCCTCTCTGTCTGCTCCTTCCCTGCTCGTGCTCTGTCTCTCAAAAAATGATAAATAAAAAAATAAAAGGAACGGTGTGTTTGGTCTCTAGCTGCATATTTGGCTCCCCTTGGAAATAATACAGGGAGATAAAAATGGCAGTTCTCAGAACTTCGGGTTTCCTGGCCTATAAAGACCTGCGTCCATCAAAGCTCGTTCCCTGTTCCTGCTTGCTGGCACCACCCTGGCGCAGGCAGCGATGTTAAGTACATGCTGTAAGTCTATTAGCACAGGCTTTCCAGGTGCTTCACGCTTTGCTGGGCCCCTGCGTCCCTCACCTGCTCGGCAGATCAGTGGCCTCACTGCATGTGTGTCATATCCATCTGCATCTTTATCGGTTTCGTCAGCGGAGGGTTTGGGCCACAGACCCTCCCAGCGCTCAGAGGAGGGGGATCTGCGGGTTCACGGCCACGTTCCCATAATGCAGCGGGTCACTCTCATCCCCTAGAATATCTCAGCGCTGACTCTCCACTTCGATGAGACAGGCAGGCTGAAGTCTTGCCTCCCGGAGAGGAAGCTACCGGAACGCAGCTTTAACAATTCTTCCAGCCTTGACCTTGGCTGCTGGCCTGCTGGGGAGCCGCTCTTGGGCGTGACCTGGATGGACTCACCCACCAGCAGGTCCTCCTGGCTTCACCCCCAAATGGGTCTTTTTTTTTTTTTGACATTTTTTTTTTTACACATAGTTTATTGTCAAATTGGTTTCCATATAACACCCAGTGCTCATCCCCACAAGTGCCCTCCTCCATGCCCATCACCCCCCTCCCCCCACACACCCATGAGTCCTCAGTTTGTTCTCAACGTTCAAGAGTCTCTCATGGTTTGCCTCCCTCCCTCACCCCCACCATTTCACCCCTTTATCTCCCTCATGGTCCTCCATTAAGTTCCTCCCAATCCTCCTATATGTGCAAACATATGATATTCGTCCTTCTCTGCCTGACTTATTTCGCTCAGCATAACACCCTCAAGGTCCATCCATGTTGCTACACATGGCCAGATTTCATTGTTTCTCATTGCCATGTAGTATTCCATGGTATAGATAAACCACATCTTCTTGATCCATTCGTCCGTTGATGGATACTTAGTCTCTTTCCATGTTTTAGCTATTGTTGAGAGTGCTGCTGTGAACATTGGGGGATCTTTTTTTTTTTAAAGTATTTATTTTTGAGAGAGTGCAAGTGGGGGAGAGAAGGGGGGGCAGAGAAATGGGGACAGAGGATCCAAAACAGGCTCTGCACTGACAGCAGGGAGCCCCATGCGGAGCTCGAACTCAGGAACCAGGAGAGCATGACCTGAGCCAAAGGGGGACACTTGACCACTGAGCCGCCCAGGTGCCCCCACCCCCCAAAACTTATCTTGAATCCAACGATTTCTTTTCATAGCAACTGCTGCAGCTCTGGGCTGAGCCACCACCTCTCTCTCTGGGACCATGGCAGGAGCCTCCCAGTGGGCTCCCTGACACCATCTTGCTCCTTTCCTTTTTTTTTTGAATTTTTAAATATTTATTTATTTATTTAGTGCTACAGGAAAGGAGAGAGACAGAGAGAGAGAATCCCAGCAGGCTCCACGCTCCTGCTCCTTCTCTATCCAGTCTCCACCCAAAAGCCAGACTTACAGCCAGTTACACCATGTGACCCCCTGCCTAGAAATTTCCACTAACTTCCTGTTGTTCTTTGAACAAACTCTGAACTCCTGACTGTGGCATCACTGTCATGATCTATCCCCTGCTTGACCCTCTCCCCCCACCCCCCCCCCCCCCCCCCCCCCCCCCCCCCCGCGCCCCACTTTGACTTCATTCACTAATCTTCACTGGCCTCATTATCTTTCGAGTAAGCCAAGCCGCTGTCCGCCTCGGGGCCTTGGACATGTGCTGTACCTCCTGGCCGGAGGGCTCTTTCCCTGTCCCACTTGTACCCAGGTCCTTCTCCCAGTTTAGGTCTGAGTCAGATGCCAGCACTTTTGAGGGGCTTGCCCTCCCCCTCCTCACCGGAAGCAGCCCCTCCCCCTGGTTGCCCCCAGCTGATTATGACACATTGTTTTTCTCATAGCACACATGCATCGCGACATCATTTGTTCAGCGCTCACTGGTTGTCTTTCTCTACCGTACAATAAGCTCTTTGAGGACAGAGGTCATCTGTGTCTTGTCACCACTGAATCCTGGCCCTTGGAACAGTGTCTGGTACAGAGTGGATGCTCAATTATTTGTTGAACGAATAAATTTGTGGATAGTCTGTGCAGCATGCCCTCGCAGGCATTGTACCCAACCCTGGAATCACAGCGGTCTGGGTAAGGAAACTCTCTTCCTTGGACTAACCATGCCAGCAGTCCTCTCCTTCCAGTGACTTCCCCTTTCCAGACAATGGAAGAAGCCAGAAAGACTTCAGCATAGTAGTAGCTGTACCCACCTGCTAGATCCTCCCTACGAGCCGGACCCAGTGCCTAAGCTCTTCCCAGGCATGCAATCCCCTCGATGACCCTACGGGGCTGTTACTACTCTTGTACCCATTTTGCAGACGGTGAAGTGGAGTCACTGACTGGCTTCAACTCATGCCAAGTGTCAGAGCTAACTGCAGAGGCAGAGCTCTCGCTTTTCCCCATGAGCTTCAGCAAAATGCAGGATCTCTCCCAAGGGAGCTCGAAGCAGAGCTCGAGGGTGCGTGATGACAGGCTCCTAAGAAGCAGCTCTGGGTTGGGGGCAGAACATCTTCACAAACCCCATGCCCGGGTGTGCCGTGAGGAGCTCCGAGGTGCAGCCACTGGGGTGAGCAAACCACAGTGAGTCCCGGGGGGCATGCAGGTCTGCAGGCTCTGCCTCCCAAGCCGTCCCAGTCCTCCTTGGCAACCTTGGCCCGAGTCCCATGGGCCTGCTGTGAAAGCGCCCACAGGGCTGGAGCAGCGGGGGAAGAATGAGGGAGGAAAGACACTACTTTGGAGGAGGGAGGGGGTGGGCAGGAAGGCAGGATTATGTCTGGCTTTTGTTGGCAAAGGGGAGAGGGCGGTAGGAACCTGCCACTCTGAATGGCCAGGGCGGAAGTCCAGGGTCACAAAGGGAAAGTGAAATAAGGACACTGCTTCTTGAGAGGGCTGCTCAAATCCCTTGAGGGTGGAGAGGTGGTTGGGGAGTCTTGGGTACCTTCCAGGAGGGGAGGGGGAGGGAGGGACACAAGAGAGGAGGTGGGGGAGGAGAGGAGAGCAGGGGGAGGAGGGGAGAGGGATGCGTAGGAGAGGGGAGGTTCAAAGCCTGCGTTCATGATCTTGGCCAAAATATTGCACCTCTCTCAAATTCCTTGGGACACTGATAACTTACCATATGGATCAAAAGTCATGTATGTAGTTCAAGAGTCTAACAGAGGCTTGACATATCACCGGCGCTTGAAAACCATTCATTCCCTTCCTATTTGCCTCTACAACCTCACACTGGGAAGAAGGAGATCAAGCCTGGGACTGAAAATGGCTTCTTTCCTTCCAATCATTCCTCACGGCCCAGACCCAAGTTCACAGGCTTCAGCTACTGGCAGCATGAACCCTAAAAGCCAGGCGGAAGGCTTTGACCTATATCAGGTCAGAGGCTGGCATCCATCTGTAGGCTCCCCGAGGTAAAGGGGCTATACAAAAGTGTTACCAGGGCTGAGAGCAAACACATCCCTGGGTGTGGCCACAGCCCCAAATCTCCAGGTGCCCTGAACCTCAGCTGGGAAACTATCTCCCTCGTCCCACCTGTGAACCTGAGCTAGTGGAACATTCCATGTTCCCTGTTGCTGGGATCCTGAGCCCCTCCTTCAGCACACATTCTCAGGTGCCCCCTCTGATGACTCCATCCACCCACAGTGGGTGACCCGTGTCTCCAAGAGGGAGGATGACAAGCTCTAAATGACATATCAACCTAGTGAAGAGCTGGGGAGGGAACCAGGGGCTCTGAGTCCCACATCCAAACACGTTTTCAGCTGAGGGCTTTTTCTATCACTCCTGGGAGCCAGGCAGAGTCTGGGAGATGCAATCAGGATGCTGGAGCATTGCAAGTTCTGTGATATTTTGATGGTATTTATGGTATTTAAGGGCAAGGATACAGGTTCATTCATCCAACCAATAGTTATTGAACCAATAGCCACTATGTGCTGTGCACTGAATGCTAGGGATACCTGTCTCTACTGCCTTAGAGCTTTTTGAAATTGGGATCATTCTGCAAGCTGTGCAGTGGCCAGCCTTTCACACTGTTGCTTTCCTCTCTGTGCAAGGGACTTAGTCATACTATCTACCTGCCCAGCTCCACACCTGTGTTTGTGTGTGTGTGTGTGTGTGTGTGTGTGTTTCAGCTGTTCCCTGCACGTTCCTACTTTGATCTGAAGTTTCTTGCTCCTTCTACCAGATGACCAAGGCCCTGTCTGCTCTCCTTTGTCCTGCTCTGACTTCCTGATGCCATCTGGGTCTCAGCTTCCTGTCCCCAACTCCAACCTGCTGACCAGTGCTGACACTGGATGCTTTGCCTTGGCTTCTGGACCCTGGACAGTGTCTTACACTCTCTGTCTGTCTTTCTCCCGAGAAAGGGCCCTAGTTCTGCCCTGTGAGGGAACATCAGCAAAGCCGAGGCTCACCCTGATCCCTGACGTGCCAACTCTGGACCCTGCCTCTCATTCTGCGCAGGGAAACTTAAGTGCTGGAGTCTGATGGCTTTCACTGATTCTTCCCCTCTGTAGAATAATGACCCCATTTTCCCTTCTGTAGCAATAATCATGGTATGTCTTTGCTCTCAAAGATGTAGCAAGAACGGCATAATGGGATGTATGTGGGTGGAGGACGCTGGGAAAAGGGACGGAGAAGTCAGTTCATCTGAGCAATAGATTACTGCTTTTACCTGCGCTCACCTGAGGTCCTTCCTCACTCCCGGGCACCATTTAGTGACTGAGCCCTGTGCTTTACATACATAAATCTCCCTTAGTTCTCTCTTATCAACCCTATGGAGTTCGGGTGATTGTCATCTCCATGGACTGGACACTGTGGGTGTCTCCTCAACATCTGTGCACCCCTCAGGGTGGTGCTCCCATGCAGTTTGCAGGATCCAACCCTGGCCAGCTCCAGGGAGAAGCCCTGGTCAGTTTAAGCAGGTGGTCGTCACAGTGCATTCTGAGGACCGCTGGGGTCCCCGAGAGCCTTCCCGGAAGTCTGCAGGGCCTCATCTTCCCCAACCACATACCTGCATGAGACTGGACTGTCTTCACGAACTACACCCCAAACGACATATTATTGCAGCAGCCTGAGTGCGGAAGTGGGTATGAGACACCTGCTGTCTTCTGTAGAGAGACGCTTTAAAGAGGTTTGCAAAAGTGTAAAATAGCGCACTCTTTTGAGTAACTTTTTTTTTTTTTTTTTTTTTTGCTTTGGGAAGTATAGTCATCGTTCAGAAGATACGTTATTTATATTAACACATTAATGGGTTTGTTGTTATTTTTAAAATGAATAAAAATTTAACCTTTTTCGGTTTTGATTTCTAAATGGTAAAACGGATAAATACAACCCATAGAAACAACGGCCGGTAGGACCCCTGTCTCAAGTTTAAACTACTGGAGGTTTGCGAGAACAGTCTGAGAACGCAGGCTGAGCCAATCCTGAGATTCTGATAACCCTTGCCAGTGATTGGTTCAGGAGTTCAGGCCTAAGCCAATCAGCATGTGGCCTTCGCTTGGTGACAGCTATTGGCTGGAGAATGGGCACGTGACCAGTTTGGACCAATGAGATCGGTGGACTAGTTTGCTCGGCGCTGTCACGGCAGTTGGTCCAGATTGTCTGCGTGACAGAGAATCACGTTTCCCTGATGTTACTGCGGGGTCTGAACGTCAGCCGCCGGCTGACTTCCAGCCTTAAGAGGGGGCTGAACCCAGAAAAGGGCAGAGCCAAGAGAATCACCCAAAATCGAGACAAAGTCACGATCAAGTTGACCTACACCTTCAAGTGCAGTGTCATGACTTAATCAACATCTTTGCTTTTTATGCCAGCTGGATTTGGATGTTGAGTCCTTAAAGATGAAAGCATCTGAACTGCAAAACTCTCCTTTACCAACGAGGAACTGAGGCCCTGAGAGGTTAAGTGAGTGCTAGTAAGTGGAAGCACCAGGACCCAAACCCGCGTCTCCTTGTAAACCTTTATTTTCCCACCACATCGCACAGCTTTCAAGGTTAAGTTCTTGCTTTCTCAATCTAGAGATCCAGATCACAAGAAAACGTGGATGCTGGGCAGTCTCAGATACTCAGGAGTGTCTCCCAAAGTCCCTTTCTTGGCCCCAGAAATGACCGGCTCCATGTCCCACCCTTGAGAGTTTTTTTCCTTTAATTAAAAAAAAATTTTTTTTAAATGTTTACTTGTGAGATAGACACAGCATGAGAGGGGCAGGGTCAGAGAGAAAGAAAGACATACATACACAGAATCCCAAGCAGGCTCCAGGCTCTGAGCTGTCAGCACAGAGCCTGATGTGGGGCTTGAACCCACAAAGTGCAAAATCATGACCTGAACTGAAGTCAGGTGCTTACTCCACTGAGCCACCCAGGTGCCCCGACCTTTGGAAGTTTTGAGCTTGTCCCTGGATATGCTTGGTAAAGCCCAAACTTGTCTCCCACCATCAGAATTTCATTCTTTTTATTTAAAAAATTTTTTTTTATGTTTATTTTTAAGAGAGAGAGACAAGTGCAAGCAGGGGAGGGGTAGATAGAGAAGGAGATACAGAATCCGAAGCAGGCTCCAGGCTCTGAGCTGTCAGCATGGAGCCCGATCCGGGGCTCAAACTCACGAACCACAAGATCGTGACCTGAGCTGAAGTTGGATACTTAGCCCACTGAGCGACACCCCCCCACCCCCTCAGAATTTTGTTCTTTTCTGCCCTGATGAGACCTAAAGACAGCGTGCCAGTTAGCGTGGTTATTTGTTGCAAGTAACAGAAACCTGTTGTAGCTAATTCAAGCAGAAAAGGCACGTCTGTCTGGACAGCTCACACACCTCCTAGGGTGGGAGAGAGAACCTTGGAGGGTGTGAAACCAGGATGAATGGCCCAAATCAAGCTGGCCAGGCCCCACTGCTGGGCAAAGACACTCCTATCTTGCCTCCTGCCACTACCCATGAGGGGCCACAGCCTTTGGAACCTGAATCTAATTTGCATTTCTTGCCTCTTCTTTGGGCACTTGCATCCAGGGCTAAGGGTGAGATGGTTGCATCTGATTGGTGGAAATGAGGTCATGTGTCAAATCCTTAGCTGCAAAGGAGGCTGGGAATAGTGTCAGTAATTTCAACTTGATGGAGGGGAGCAGGTTCTTCCTGAAAGTACTTAACCCCTCCGTGCCTCAGTTTCCTCACTGTAAAATGGAGGTAACCAGAGTATCCCATGGTAGGGTTGTTGTGACAGTCAGAAGCTTAAGTATGTCCCAAGTGCTTGGCAGGCACCTGGCCATTGTTTTTTGTGACTTGTTGTGACAGAACAGCGGAGGGTTCTGTCTGAATCCACCTACCACTCTCTGAAGATCTCTCTCCTCTCTCCCACCACGTGGGAGCTGCTTCTGTTGATGGAGGAGCAAAAATAAAGTCCCGTGTGTTCTAGAAAGCTTCCCTGACTATCCCGGGTCCCAGGGGTCTCTCCCAGCCTTCAATTCTGACAGTGTTCACTCATTCATTCATTCACCCGATGATTTCTTCCCACTTGCCTCCTTACTCAACACCCCAATGTCTGACCGAGCTCCTTGAACCCTGGCCTCCATCCTCTTATGGAGAGAAGCTGGCTTCTTTCTCATTTGCACTCTCTCCCCTTTTCCTGGCACATTTTCTCTCTGGATCACTGCCAGGTCAACTTTTCTTTTTTTTTTCTTTTTTTGTCATTCAAATCTTAGTTCAAATGCCACCTCCTCTGAGAAGCCCTTCGGATTGGGTAAACCAAAGCAGCTGCCCTTCTTGTCTCCCTTTACTTTCTTTTATTCTCTGGCCTCAGGTGCTCTGAACTACCTAACTAGACTCCCTGGGCCGACTGGGACAGAGGCCGTGGCTGTGGCCACAACGGAGCAGGGTGGCCTGGGTTCCGGGCACCATGGCCTGCCGCAGTGAGCCTCGGAGAACTTAGTGCAGATGACCATCTGATGAAGGGCTGGAAAGACTGGGGACTCAAGGCCTGCAGTGAACTCCGGGGGGCTCACCAGCCAAAGCCCTGCCCCCTGCCCCCAGGAAGATGAGCCCCTGGCCGGTTATAGACATCAGCTGATGACAAGGGCATGGCCCTTGCTGGCTGTCACCCTCACTCTCAGCGCCCTGGTGTGACCTGGAGGGAGGCTGCCGAGGGACGGCCCCCGTGGGGGCTTCGGCAGCTGACCAGGGGATGGGATCGGTGTTAATGAGAGGGCCTGCTGAGCTGGCGGCTTTGCTAATTAGGCCGCAAGAGCTCCAAACCCAGCCAAGGAAAGCGAGTTGCTTATACTAATCAAGGGCGGTCTGCACTTCCTGGCTGGCAGCGGTGCCCGGGGCCCAGCATGCAACACATGGGAGCAGAGGGCCGGGGGGGTGGGAGTGTGTGACCAATGCTGGAAAAAACCAGAGACAGCTCCCTAGCTGCTCCCTACATTCTGGGGCTGCCCATTGTCCCGAAACAGGGAGAGGAGGCCCGGGTCATGGCAGAGGCCTCTGGAGAGGCAGGGGGAGGCAGGAGAAGGGGCAAATGCCAGGAGGGGCCGCTTACAGAACCCTCCTCTGGAAGGTGGGGAGACAGATGGCGAGGCTTGATTTCCAAACCCCAGCCTCAAGAGAGGGTGGCAGAGCTGGCGACATCATGGCATCCACGGGCCTCGACTCTGTGCCTGATGGGGGAAGGCTCTTGCCCCGGGGCCAAGGGCAGCCTCCGCCCCACTGAGTCCTACAGCTGGCTGGCTGAGCAAGGCCACAGGGTTGCCCTCTTCAGTCCAAGTCCCAGATGTGGGATATTTCTCAGACCCCGGAGAAATCCGTGTGCAGATTCACTCATTCACTCATTCATCCATCCATCCATTCATGCAGCACCTACCGTGGACCCCATTCCAGCCACTGGGGATAGAGATGAACGGTACCACCCCTGCCTTCCAGAAGCTCGGAGTCTAGCAAGACCACAGACCAGCAATTATGTAAGCGGGGGGCTGCAGTGGGACAACAGGGAGACCAAGAGGCTGAGCTGGGGAGGGTGTGTCCTACTAATAGCTGCCGCCTTCAGAGCAAACACTGCCACGTGGTGTTCAACGCCTTCGACATCACTGCCACCTCCATTCTTCCCTGTGACCCTACACAGCGGTGACTATTCAAACTGCCTCCCTCCGCCTGCCCATTTTACAGATGAGCACACTGAGGCACAAAGAGATTGAGAAGCTTTCCAGACACTGCACAGGTGGTAAGAGGCGCGTCCGGGAGCAGGAGCGGGTCAGGTGATGGAGGAGAAAGCGGTCCTGAGCAGAGGGGACAATGCGAGCCAGGCCGGGGGCTGATGCTTAGATGCTGGAGCAGGAGGGGCCGCGGTGAAAGCTGGTGTCGGGGAGAGTTGGGCTGATGGAAGGCGGGAAGTTTACCATTTGACTCACACACTGCCGACGCCCTGAGTGGCAGCGCCCTGCGCTTCGGCGGGTCAGAGAAGTGTGCGTGGGGAAGGGTTCGTTTGAATCCCGCAGCCAGAGAGCCATAACCGCGATTAATTATACTCTTCATCAACTATTTAGCACCTCCCTTTGTAGCCGGGGCTGGAGCTGGGCCCCGGCTGCCTCATCAATATTTCAGATGTGTCTCCTTTTCAGCTAAAAATGAGCTTGTCATTTGCACAACTTTTGAGACACCTCCATTAGCAAGGCTGTCTGCTCCCAAGCTGGGGCGAGAGTTTTTACATTCAGAAGGTGCCTCCCTTTGGAAAGGGACTTTTCAGACGACTCTCGCACCTTCGACATGGGCTTAAAGGGGACGGATGGGTCTTGCCCACTTTGGGCTCTGACCCCCCTCGGTATGGAGGTCGTAGGCCGAGTGGTGCAAAAAGCTTCAGACACGATATGATCAGAAAGAGCTTTGCCCAGTCTGCCTTCTCCCAGCCCACTGCCTGCTCTGCTCTGCCGGGGAAGTGGCTGAGGGTGGGTGTGCTGGCAGGCGGGGTAGGGGTGGGGGCAGTTAAAGTTAGGGCAAGGGGGGAAGGGAGGGCGGAGGTCTTTGTAAGTGCTCTGCACCCTCCTGCGCCCCACGAGACATCTGCTTCCATAGGGAAGCCCCCACCCCACCCTCAGGCCAGATCAAAAGGTTTCTGACCTCCCCTGTGTAGCTCCTGTCACAAGGGGCCACTTCTCTCTATTTTGTATTTTATTTTATTATTTTATTTTATTTTTTTATTTTTTTACTATTTTATTTTATTTTGAGAGTGATAGAGCACAAGCAGGGGAGGAACAGAGAGAGAGGGAGACACAGAATCCGAAGCAGGCTCCAGACTCTGAGCTGTCAGCACAGAGCCCGATGTGGGGCTCGAACTCACGAACTGCGAGATCATGACCCGAGCCAAAGCCGGACGTTTAACTAACGCCACCCAGGCACCCCCTCTATTTTCTTTAAAGGATATTTCCTTTAAGTATAATAATAAATAAATAAATAAATAAAGGCCTCCTTCTGTAGACTGGCAGCCTCACGAGGTAGGGAACAGGTCCAGCTTTGTTCATGATGACATCCCAGCACCTGGAATAGTGTCTGGCACATAGTAGGTGCTCATAAATAACTTGTGGAAGGGATGCATGAATGAGGGGTAATCTCAGCAGATGGAGGATTCTTTCCTTCCTCTCCCTCCCTCCCTGTCTTTCTTCCTTCCGGAAACTTTCTGTGTGGGTGCCTGGGTTACAGTAAGGTGAGTGAGATGATTTGGCCCGGAGACCCCACTGCCCAATGGCACGAGCCTCCTGGGCTCATCTGCCTGAGCCGGAGGAGGCCGGGCAAATCTAACCCTCAGCATGGACACGGATGGTGGGGGGGGGGGTGACACGGAGACGGAAGGTCGTTCAAAAGCCTGCTTTGGAGACTTATTCTGGGGGTTCCCTGCAGCCTTGCAGCGCCTCCTTCCCACTCTGTGTCTCGCAGAGCCTATAGGAAAAGCCTGCAGGTGGGCTCCTGGGGGCTCTCAGGGGAGGGTAAGATGCTGGGAATGTCATACGAGAGGCTAGCCTTCAAACAATCCCAGGACAGTAGGATATGGGACCGGGGATGGGAGGGGAGAGAGGTGCCTCTCAAAGACGGAGGACTCTCTTCCCATAATGAGGGTGCAGGGAGGGCATTCAGATACTGGTCATCAGAGATGACGCAGAGGCAAGCCCCAGGCAGGGACTGAACTCTCTTCTGCCAGAAGCATTTCCTCCCCGGAGTTCCGGGAGGATTTAGGGCTTGTGGCAGGTGCTCGCCTGGGCTCTCTGGGGACCTTGAGACTCCATTTAGGCCATGAGTGAGGGCACAGGTGAACCACACATGACAGCAGGCCATCTGCCTGCTGCACACTGCCTGTCACCTCGAGAAGACACTTACTTCTGGGTGTCCACACGGCTCACAGAGCCTTTAGTGGGAAGCCAGAGGGCAAAGGCAGGGGGTACGGAGGAGGGAGTACCCAAGTCTCTTCACCCTCCCCAGCAGCTTCTGATCACACCCTCAGGCAGGGCCAGACAGATCTGGGAGCAGGAGACACCACAAAACCTCACCCAGACAGACCCCAATTGCCCCAGATACCAGGATGCCTCTCTCTGCACCTCCCTAACAAGAAAATTACTTTAGGGATTGCTTTCTTATTTTAAAAGAAGACTCTACCTATTGCATAAAAGTCAGACAAGTCAGAGAAGTAAAAAGAAAAAAGTATAAATCACCTATAAAATCACACTTTCCTTACTGTTCCTTTTATTGGATTTTTTCCTCAAACATATGACAACCCAGAATTTTCCAGAAATCAGGCAGCATTACAGAGGCTATCTTGCCTTAAAATGTTTTTTTCATTATTAAAATTTTCATTAAACTCAACAGTATTCTACGGACATGTTCCCATGTAGGCACGTACAATTTTAAACTCGTGGTTTTCATCAGAAGCACTGTGAAGCTGGATAAAATACAGATTCCTGGGCCCCATCTGGAGCCCTACTGGTGGATCTGCTGTGGGGTCTGGAAGTTTCTATATTGGAACAGCCCCCAAGATGACTGTGATTCACAGAATTTTGATCTATAGGATGCCTTTAAAAATACCCTCTCCTGGGGGTGCCTGGGTGGCTCAGTTGGTTAAGCATCTGACCTGATTTAGACTCAGGTCATGGTCTCATGGTTCGTGGGTTTGAGCCCTGCATCGGGCTCTGAGCTGACAGCAAGGACCCTGCTTAGATTCTCTCTCCCTCCCTCTCTGTCTGCCCCTGCCCTGGTCATGCTCTCTTTTTTTCTCTCTCTCTAAACATACAAACAAACATGAAAACACACTTTTTAAAAATACCCTTTCCTGTAATTTTAGAAGTTGGCAGGGGGAAAAACATTTGATATCAGGAATATTTGAAGCTTTAGCTCTTATAGGTACTGAGGATACAGATGTTTGGTTGCAAGTTATGTTTTACTGGATGTCTTTATAATCTTACCTGATAATGAACAAAGCCCAGCTCTCAATCACTGATGGTACAGGGTCTGGATCAAAACCATGACAGTAATTCAGAGCAAGTGATAGAAGGAAGGGTGTTTTTATTTAAAAAATTTGTTTTTACAATTATTCAGTTTTGAGAGACAGAGAGCATGAGCTGGGGAGGGGCAGAGAGAGAGGGAGACACAGAATCTAAAGCAGGCTCCAGGCTCCAAGCTGTCAGCACAAAACCCAATGCGGGGCTTGAACTCACAAACCACGAGATCATGACCTGAGCTGAAGTCAGACGCTTAACAGACTGAACCACCCAGGTTCCCCAGAAGAGAGGATGTTTTTAAGGGAAAGAATGTTTCTATTCATACGGGGAGGAAAAAATATTTTTTTAAGAGAAAAACATTTCAGCTTTTAGGGAATGTCATGGTAGATTCATTTTCTCTGTCTTTCACTTTCTGTGGCACCATGTCCCGTCAATGGGACAGATGGCCAGTCCGACTGCGGGACTGAGTGCCGTCCTTGAGTAATGGAGGGCTTCAGTGACATCTGCAAGATGGACTTCTACAGCAGGAAAAATAGACATCAGGAAGAACGGGCTTCACACACAACTGAAAGATCTTTCCCTAGAGGCACCGCAGACAGAAAGGACTTCCTCTCAATTTTCCATTAAAGAGCAATCTGAATTGCCCAGATCAGCCTGTTTCCACAGCGGAGCATTCCAGCTGACCAAGCTGGGCTCTTTTACCCCAAACCCAAACTTGTCGAGCTGGAAAAAGAAAGGTGATTGTTTGGCAGGTTCTGAGGAGCCCTGCGGGCACCCATGACAAGCTTCCCAAAGTGCCTCAAACTGGGTTCTAACTCTATAGAGTTTGGCTTTCACAGGGAGGGGCAGAGAGAGAGGGAGACACAGAATCTGAAACAGGCTTCAGGCTCTGAGCTGTCAGCACAGAGCCCAACGTGGGGCTTGAACCCATAACCTGTGAGATCATGACCTGAGCTGAACTGATGCTTCACCCACTGTGCCACCCAGGTGCCCCTCACCTACAAGGTACTTTTCACTGAGGTTACTACTCCACAGTCTGATAGTTGCCACATTTGTCATGTTAGGAGCATGGTCAACAAACTTTTTTGGTAAAAGGCTACAGAGTAAATATTTTAGGTCATATGGTCTCTACAGTGTGTATCCCAGCTACTCAGCTCACACTGTAGGGCAAAAGTAGCCTAAGATAATATGTAAATGAATGGGCGTGGCTATGTTCCAATAAAACTTTCTTTATAGACAGTGACATTTACATGAAATGTAATGTCTAAAATGTATGAAATATTACTCTTCTTTTGATTTTTTCCAACCATTTAAAAATATTCTTGCTTGTTGGGGTGTATAGTGGGGAGGAAAAGGGCTGGTATTGGCCTATGGGTTGGGGGGCAATGGGGGTGTAGCCTTTTCCAGGGTCAGAGCTGTCTCGAATAGGATGGGAATTCTCTCTGGGGAGACAGTGAGTGCTAAGTCACTCTGGACAAAAACCAGATCTGGAAGACATCTCAGTTTGGGTCTTCCCTACAAAGCAGACCCTAAGACAAGGATGTGGGTACAAGTTTATTTGGGATTTGGTCCCAGGTAGCAAGAAGCGGTGAAGGGAGACAGGGAAGATAGGCTGACAAATGGGTTCATGCTGTGACGATTGGGGGTCAATACTCTGCGGCCCTCTAGTCGCCATGGAAGGACGAAGAAGGTGCAGTGTGGATATCCCAATTCCTGGATGCCATGGCCTGAGGGTGCTCCTGAG